ATTGTTAAAGTGGGCGTCCCCTTCGAAACCGAATCCAAAAACACAAGTTGTCTATAAAAAGATATGATATATATTCTTTCGTATCAATGAACGTGTTAATTATGGACACCAATTTGATTATTGGGAAAATGTAGAAATTTTAAATAGAGGAAACATCAGACAGTGATGCCATGGAATTCCTAGAAGCCTGGTACTCAAATGAATCTGCCAGTGATCAACAAAAACAGCACTATAGATCAAATTTACCAACGGATAAAAATTAAATCACATGACAAGAAAGTTCGGATTCCAAGTCAATAAAAATATGATCAATAGAGATGTAAATTAACATCCAGTCACGACAGTGGTTGCCAGGAGATACAATTACACCATTAACGGAGAATTTAAATAAGTCCATTTCATACTGAATCCTGTGGTGAAGATGTTGTCTTGAATGTGGACTAAGTAAGCTATGCAGTTGAACAATCAACCAGGTCAGAGGACACAATGTATTCAGTATCATCCACCCGAGCTACAAATCTTCTCCATCATTTCAAAATCGGTACTGAATTTATTTTTCATTACTGATAATATAAAGCAAATCAAAATGACTTAATTAATTAGTAATATTCTCTGTTGAGTAGTATATCTGGGTAAAATAAAAAGTTGAAACTACTCAGGGAAAAGGATTTAGAACTTATCTAGTTGGTTTGGTTAAATTACAGACTCAGAATCAGTACAAATCACCAGATTTCTAACTAGATGATTCGTCTGTCTTAACTGAGCCAAACTAAGTACACAGCTGATGATCTCGACCTTAATTAGCAATGCGGCTGTCCGTTTTTAAGACCACTTCAATCTGGCTGGAAGCACCACTCATTCATGAGGGCGGCATGCAACTACTCATATCAGTCAGTCAATAGTACTGTAACGACAGAAAAGAAGGGCCAGACAAAAGATCGTTTGTTGAGATTTTATTTTTTATATACATTGTTATTATTAGCGTTATTGTTAGCAGAGAAACGTCTTCTGATTGGTCGCTTTCTTTCTGAAGCTTACTCTGTACTGCCTGTGACCGTTTCTTAGAAAGTTAAGCCATATATCTGCGAATCGTATTTGCGGATGTTAAGTCTTCTGTGATTGGTTGGTGAGTTCCTCAAGGTTAAGCTTTGTTAATGTTTTTTCTCATGACTCCAATTCGGGACGTAAATATTCGCGTCAATTGTTGTCTACAATTTTGGCTTGTTCGCAGACAGCTCTCATCCCAGCATGTACTCTTATGTAGTTATGCTTGCCTTCTTGTTCACCAGTTATAGAATCAAGCAGACCATACGTTGTGGTGATGTGAATAATTTCCATTTCCATAAGAAACCGTGTAGGGTGAAATTTTGCCTCTTCAAACTGTGCGTAAATTTCAAATTAATTTGCGAATTGTCAATAAGATTTAACTCTTGAAGCATTTGACGAAAGTTTCAGCTATTTTTGAGGCATTTTGAGTAGATTTTGGTATGATTTGTGGACTCTGGAGAAAATGCCAATTTTTTGATGCGTCTCCCCAAAATTAGTTCCGAATTTACCCCAAATGTTTCATTGAATTTATTTCAAAAGCTTCTGTCCTATAAGTTACAGAAGAGGATTCATGAGAACATTGTTTAATTGTGTAAGAAAGCATTTGCTCAAAAGAAAAGGCCGACGAAGATATATCTATTGTGGAAAGATGCCGGAGTGATGATGGCTACCCACAGAAGCACAGTGGAGAAAAAGTCTATATTTCAGCATTTTGCCTTCAAAAGTGATGACATTACTGGTAGAACAAGATGAAAATTGAACGCTGCACTGATAAGAAGATATCCAGCCGCCATCAGTTTACATATACATGCCAAAGCAAATACATTGGAAGAACAGAGAGAAAGGTTATTGTCCGCATTTTTGAACTCATACCCAACAAACTGGGTGAAGCTAAAGGGCTTACAGGCGTTAAACAGTACGATCACGCACCATCTACTGAACACTGTCCACATTGTCGACTGTCTGCAGGTATTTAAAATAATCTCAATAGGCAAAAGAACCAACCTAACTTGCTACATTTTGCTAAGACAATCACCATCAAACGATTAACATGGAATCCGTGAACACAGAAAGAGGTAGTGTTGCGATTTGCACTGCCTTGATGACAAAAAAGTATGCAAGTTTTATTACGTCACCCTGTGTGTTGTTTAGAAAATTTTATTGTTTCATCTAGGCATGACTCACCCTACTACACTTCTTCGCTACTTTATAAGAATGTATCTACTGTAGTTACATAACCTATTATATTGTAACACTCCTTCAAGTTAAGTGTTGTTTCTACCCACAAAAATCTGTTGAACTCTGTCTTTTCGTTTCCAGGCTTAGTCGTCTAATTATCATATAAATAGTTAATCTATTTAACTCTTAATTATTTGACAGCTAACATAATTCTGAACTTGTGTCGCTCATAGTTCCAGCCAGTTGCTCCTTGCCACTGTGGAAAAAGTATATTCAAATCTTTGGTTACAGGATTTCATCATGAGCTGAAATCGATTAGACAACTATTGGATAACCAGCCATAGGGAGTACTGGAAAGCCACTCTTTTCAGACTAGTTTGAGATTCTTCATCAGTACGCACACACCCACCTCCGGGGTTCGAATCCAGGACCTTGTGGTTACAAGGCGACCTCGTAGACCATTAAGCCACTAGGATTTTATCTAATGGCCAACTCATGAATTCTAACTTCTGACGATTCACGATATAGCGCGACTGGCACTACCCAATGTTATCTGTGGCGAGTATTTGTCCTTACTGCCGCTGACCAATTGTACCCCACTGGTCACAACTTCTCACTAGATCCCAGGTAACTACCAACCTGAATATAGGGAGTGGCTAGTGAGCATCAGATAGATATTCATCATGAGATGATATCGATTAAAGAAGTAGTTCCCTATTTGGGTCCACTCGACCAGGAGTGAGGACTGATACTCACCAGCGATGACATTGGCTAGTGAATTGGCAGAAGTTAGAATTGATGGGCTGGCCATTGGATCGGATAACTTTGACTTAATGGTCTACGAGCTCGACTTGTAAACGGAAGATCATGGGTTCAAACCCCCGTGGTGGATGCGTACTTCCAATGAGTCCCAAACTAGGCTGATGAGAGTGGCTGTTCAGTACTCTCTATGGCTAGTTTTCCAATGGTGCTCTAACTTAAGTCAGCTCATGATGATAAAATCCTTCAACCAACCTTTGTTTTGAATAAAGCAAGAACAACAGTTTTTGCAAAATAAAGTGGTACCACTATTTATTTCGTTGGCTTTTCATCAGCTGCTTACAGGCCAATGTCATTATTAAATATATCTACAGAAATGATTTTAACATACTTGCACAGAGTTCATTTTAAACAAAAATCAATTAATTAATATATGCACACAGTAATAATATACATATATATATGTAACATTAAACGCTATTCCGAACAATAATGGTCATACGCAATGAAAACTTTTCAGCATTACGCATTCAGATGAAAAATAGGGTGAGAATATCCAGTTACCAGGGTAAAGAAAGACTGATAAATGTTTCTTTCTGAACGTACAAATCAGGTTTCAGGCGCTTGATGGAGATAGCTTCATCAAACTTGGGGAGAATTGAGCTCTTTTGCCTATTGATAATTTCAAACGATTTTGCGACGTCTTCCTCATGACCCATGTCAAGGAGATACCTGGCAATGGCACTGTTCCCTTTAGAAATAAGCTTTTTGGTGCATGTTCAGAAAATCATAGATATGCCCTTCTTTCTGTTCTTCCAATGTAACTGCTCCCGCAGATACATGCAAATTTGTATACACAGTTGGAGTTGTTAACATGAGAAGGATATCTATCAATTTTTGATTGCATCAAAGGAGAGCAAGTTGTTCGATAGACGAGAACGAGCTTTGCCGCAGGATAGACTCTTGCTAGTGACGTACTCAGTCTTCTGTTGACCATTGCTGCAATGTTTTCACCTTTGTAATCAAGTTGAATGTAGTTTGGCTTTTTCTCCACTGTGATTTGTTTGACATTTGAGACCACAGATCTTCCGTACTTGTCAATGAATCTTTGAGGGTAACCACTGTTCTTCAACATCTTTACAAGAAACACAAATTCTTTCTCTAATTTCTCTATAAAGCATAATCCATAGTCCACGTTTAAAGATATTTGGACAAAAACTATTAAAATGTAAGTATTGTCCGTTCCATGTAGGCTTCCGGTAAATTGACTTCTGGAGACTGCCGTCTTCTAGGCGTTGCATGGCGATGTCGAGGAAGTGAAACTTTCCTCCATAGTAAATCAAATATTGGTATGTGCGTCACTGAATAATCTGAGTAAGTGTGAAGCATGACTTTCATTTTTGCACACTATAAATGTGTGATCAACGTATTGACAGTAGGAAGTTGTTTCATCTATTGCATGCTTCAACTTTGTTCTTTCAAGGTTGGACATGCATATATCTGCCAAAACAGGGCTAAGTGGACTACCCATAGCCACACCATCTATTTGGCGGTAAAGAGTGTTGTCAAATTGGAATTGCACATCCATGGTACACATAAGCAGTAGGCGTTTGAATTCCGACTCTGAGAGTGAGACAAGATCAGACTGCTGAAAAATGATCTCAATAGTTTCGTTGATCGGAATCATTATGAACAAGGAGGTTACATCAAATGACACCATGAACTTATTTAAAACGTTCATGTGGTTCACACTTTCAGCGAAATGAAATTTGCGTCGGTGGCACAGTGGTTAGGACTCTCGCCGACCATTCACATGGTTCGGGGTTCGATCCTTTGCCGACGCACATACGATATCAATGGTCGGCCTGCGAAATTTGGGCTACCGGTCTCACATGCTGAAAATTCCATACTTGTACCAAAAATACGGTGTGGAATCAAGCTATAATAAAATAAATAAAAAATGTATGAAATCTTTATTTTAATGAACAAAATCGCTCACATGACAGGGAAAATCAATGATATTCATCTATTCAAACTGTTATTATGCTGTTAATAATAATATGCTACAGTATTTAGCGAAAAAACTCATCAGTCAAAGAAAAGATAATGAAGATAAAGATATAAAAAGTGCAAATTATAAAAAGTGTAAATCAATAACACAAAAATTGTCTGATTTCCACATACTACTGAAATCCATCCTTTCAAAACAACCACATAATAATAAGTTTGAACAAACTTTTCAAGTTCAGCTATTTGATAGTGAATCTACTGACACAAAACTCACTGACGAATTAGAAACACTTTATTCTATTGCTAATAAATCTCTAAATTCATATCTTGACGATACTTTATGTTCAGTTGGTATTGAACAACAGCAAGAACAACAATATCCAATCAATTTAAAACAAGAAAATTCACCATTGGGACATTTAACAGATATACCACTTAAACAATCATTTGAAGATCTTCATGAAAGCTTGAACATTGAACAATTTGGTGATGTTGTGAATTACAAACCTAAAATAAATAATGACAGCAAATGTGAATTACTCGACAACAGTCAAGAATGTTTTGATAATATTCATGCCATTAATCATAAATCACACGAAGAATGTGAAACAAAGACTGATGATAAGCCTACTTCAAAATTAGAGGATAAGAAAGAGGCTAGTAATTCATTAGTTGATTTAAACAAACAATCATATAATTCAGGAACGAAAACTATTGAACTATTGAACAATAAGTCATCCACTGAGAAACACAGCGATCCCCAGTCAACTTTTGTTGATCGACTTGACAGTCCATTATCTGATTTCACTGACTATTATTATCGTTACAACTTTTATGAGCAAATAACAAAAGAGGAACAAAAACAAGAGACGGAACACCACCACCAACAACAACAACAGCAAATAAGAGAAGATGACCTTGAAGTTAAACCCGCTCAAAATTCAATCTTATCAAAAAGTGATGAATTAAAACAAAAGGCTTATTATAAATCACAAAGTAATTTACTACTAGTCAAGAAAAATATCCAATTACAACATGCTTTAGTTAAAAAAACTAACCAAAGTTCTACTTCTAGAGTATTTGATAAAAAATCAAAAAATAATTTAAAACAAAATCATCAACAAATTATTTTTCAAGAATTCAGTAGTACAATTATTTGGATATTACCTATTAAACAACATAGTATCATACTGTTACGAAACGAATTTTCCCGATCAGCTTTAAATTGTTCGCGAATAGACGACAACAGTCAATTTAAGCAAAGTAACAATGAATTTTTAAAGGTTCAATCTCAGTTAAACAAAAGGCCTGTTGATACCCTTGAATATAAAATTCAATTAAAAACACATGAACAGCAGGCAATGCTGGCGATCGACTTCAATGCATTCAATAATGCTGAAAGTAATCCATTTGAGGGCTACTATCGAAGTTTATCTCATTCAGATTATTCTCAGTCACCATCTCACTGGAGTGATGTTTACTTTGATTTCAATGTTGGGAAAGAGAATAAATTGCACATGAAAATAAGAAATGATATACCACTAAAGTAAGTTTATTTGTTTCTGCTGTGCAAATCAACGGAAGTGATTCGATTTTCAACTGATTACGACTGGTTAACTAATCTTAGTTGTATTGTTCTGTTCCCACCTATTTGTGTGTTGAGTTGGGAAATGTTCTTCGGAAAGAGACGCCACTAAATGATGTCGCATGTCAGGTCATCGTTCTAGTGGAACCTTAATGGAAAGCGACAAGTTTAGTATCCTAAGGTGACATAGACTAGGCTGTGCGTAAGAGGAGGGGATGAGAATGTATAGGCAATCTTGGAACCAGCTAAAGAGGACCAAAGGGAATAGGGTGTAATGGTGAAGGTGTCCTGTGGAAGCACTATGATCCACTCGGAGCCAAAGAGAATAATGATAATGATAATAAAATACGTTTTCCTCCATGAGTAGAAGTACTGCTGTGGAAGTTTGATTTGGCCTTTGGTTTGATTTCACCTTAGAAATTGCTGAGGAGTCCTGACATAGCACGAAACAAGAACTGTCACTTTTGTAGAAAAATAAAACGCAGACACACAAATTTTAATTTTAAGCAATACATAAGGCGTTTAAATAGACTGTAATAGGCTAGTTAAAGACCAAATATTCATAATGATTATACTAGACGCTTTGGATTTTTTTCAGGCTGTGCCAGCTAAATAATTTGTTGATTTTATAAATCGCGCTTACTACATCATCTTCTGAAACTGGCATGATAAACCTCTGTACAAAACTAATTTCTGAATCACTAATTTTTAAATGAAATAAGTGATTAGTTTCGGAGGAAGTGAGCAGACGAGGTAAGTGACTGTAGTGATGTGCTTACAATTTGTTATTATTGTTCTCTTGGGTTCCAGTTGGAAATTAGGGCTTCAGTAACACATCCTTACTTTCTTCTCTTTTCTGCTGTCCTATTCGGATGGGCCCACGACTGGAAATAATCTGTAATGTCTTCCTCGCACGATCTCCTCCATATCACCGTCGGACCAGTGCCACACTCATCGTTTCCTATTAGGGTCCCACTGGAGCAATGGCCTGAATTGCGCGCGAAGTCACTCAACGGTCTTCTCAGTGGTGTGTGCCATATCGATCTCCATATTCTCCTACATATCTGTTGAACGACAGGTTGCTTGTTAGTTTATGGGCAGAGTTTCTGGCTGCTAATTCTTTCTGGTTGGTCATTTGACCTTCACTATAGAGGCAACCAGGGCAGCTGTTGACGAAAGTCTGCAATAGCCTGTTCGAAATGTTTTTTGTGATGCACAGTGCAAGTTTTTAACCCACATGGCTTCACATTTGTCTTGAAAATCCAAATCTTGTGGTTTATGCAGCTGAGTGCAGTGTTGAAGAGTTCCACACCAATTTCAGATTGATGAAGGTGTGCCTTACCTTTCTGATTCTGGTTAGTGTTGACATCTTCATCTGTTCCGACTGCCTGTGGTTGAAAGGCTGATTGTTGTTGACTAGATAAGTGAATGAAGTGATGACCTCTTTCAAATTACTCACGTTGATAGTGATTAGTGATGATTGTTGTTGTCAGTGTTGGTTAGTTGGTTGGTTGTGGCAACTACCTCGGTCGTGTTTAGCAGTCAAACATAGAGAATTTAAGTATCACCTTGTATACGTTTGTAAAGGCTGAATGTTTATCAATCTTTTGCCCTTTACCCACCAGATGTTCCAAAATATGGAACTGCTGGTTGACTTACCTAACCACGTTGGGTAGTGCTGTAGAGAGTGACGGTGGGCTTGTTGAGTCGTTCTACTTGTGCAACTGTCTCCACAGAAATAGTTAGATTGACAGAAGTAAGAATTCATGAGTCACTGACCATCCCGCCAAAGTTGTTAACTGGTCAACTAGCTTAATCTCTTAACCTGAAGGTTCAAAGTTGGATCTTTGGTGGGAATTTTTGCATGCACTGATGGATAAGGAGTTTCAAAATAGGGCGAAACATCTGTGCCCAGGAATCTCTTCTGGTTTTCACTGATATCCTTTTAACCGCTGTTGGTTCATGAGGTAATTTAACAATAGACATTAAATTAATTCACATCCACATAAACCGAATATAGTTTTCTTATGATCTATGCGACTAATTGATATTGTAACCAGAAGAAGGCAACACACGGAAGCAAACGAATCTTTTCAATTGATAGTTAATATTCTTTAACCAATCACTGAGCGTGTGATTATGGTTTAAATTAAACAGCATGAAATAGAATGTTCAAATACACATAGTATTATGTTGTTCATACAGTACTGAACTGTGGGAATATATGAGAATAATATACCTTTGGAACACACACTGTCTGAATCACACCACCACAATATAACCTCTCCGGCAGTTCATGTGACCCAATAGACTTATGACTGGGTATAATAATACTAACGCAAATGGACAACTCAACTAATATGCTAACTACGCCTATTTTTCCGTAATACTTTCCTTTTCACTGAGCCACGTAAATATTAAATTTTATGAGGAAAAACACGTCATATTTATATATTTTCTTAACGACATTAAAATCGGCCTAGGGCAGTGAAAATACGCTGTTCTGATTGGTAGGCAATTTTGCTAGGTCAGAGAAAAATAAATATTCTGATTGGTTGGTGATTTAAGCAAGATAATTAGCATTTTAAGCCGATTCCTATCAAATTTTCACACACACATATAATGTTTGTTATTGACTTTTTAGATATTGTGCTACCGTCATCGCCTATCAATTAGGTAATCCAATGGCTGAAAAGAAAATTCACTTCTATTGGCCTAATGATACTACTGAATTAAATACTGATCAATCATTGACTGAAATGAAATTAGAGAATAATGTAGAAATTATTACAAAATTTCAGTCATAAAATAACCACTAAAGCCTCAAAAAGAAGACATAACAAGCTGTCAAATGTGAATGGATGAGAAGTCAAGAGAAAACGACGAGAGAGCGAGAGCGAAACAGAGGGAAGTTGAGAATTTAGAGTATCAGTTTTATCGACTCCTTACTACTAACATTTTTGGATTCGAAATAATCAACTGACTTCATCATTTTATTTGTTTTTTTTATGTATTCTACCTTTTCGTTCTGGTATCGTTTATGTGAAATGAGTCGTTTCTTTTGAAAATTGTATTTCCTGGGACTAAGTTAGTACTTGTGTGCTAATTGATGACGCTTATTGATTTGTGTTACGTCATAAAAACTTTGTACAATTAAATGTTGAGTTTTTTAATCCTTTGGTTGGACATTAGGTCGTCGGTAAGTCATTTCATGCGCCTGGTCTTCGACCTGGTTGCTGCAGACTGAATTCTATCATCGATGAAAACGAAATGCGTATTTCCACGAAGAGGCTCTTTTCGGTGAATTCATTTACCTCTTTAACTCTACACTCGCACTTATAAACAATTCATTTTTTCACAAAACACTAAGGTCCTCTAGTTGTCTAGAAGCTTTGTCCTTTGAAGCCAAGTATGTTAATCTTTCATTGAATATCGTGTTTGAAAGGTTTCAAGAACATTATCTTGAATGATTGCAGAGAGGTAATAGAAGCTCTGTGGTGAGAGTTGTCTGCAAGACAAAATTGTAGACAAAAATTCACGTCAATGTTCACGTCCCGAATTGGGGTCATGAGAAAAAACAATAACAAAGCTTAGCCTTGAGGAACTCAACAATCAATCACAGCAGAATTAACGTGTGTAGATCCGATTCGCATATATATGGCCTAACTTTCTAAGAAACGGTCATCAGCAGTACAGAATAACCTTTAGCAAGAAAACAGCCAAACAGAAGATGTTGCTTCTGTGCTAAAAATAAAGCTAATAATAATGTACATAAAAATCTATAAATATCTCTTGATTATCTCAATAAGCGACCGTTTGCCTGGCCCTCGTCTTCTGTCGTTACAACTGTACGTGGAGTGTGATAAACGGACATCTAGAAGACACGAGTCACCTCATCTCAACAAACGTCTTCTTTTTCAGAATAATCTACAAGGTGAAGAACAGCTCATCAAAATCAATATGCTTTCGTCTTCTCTCTGCATTTCATATATATTCTGGCCATTCAGATACATAAACTGGAGCTGTGTATGTGTACACAAGGAAATTATTCAATCAGTTCTGATTATCACGGTAACAACCTTGATTTTTGCTTATTTGTTTGTTTTTCTAACTCCTTATTACTCTTGTTTTTCTTTAGGACTCTGATATAATTTTATACGCTTCTTCGTTTTTAAGAGCAATCTGATTACAACCCAATCATTGAATTACCCACCACATTACATAACTCGAATATTCCTATTCGACTCCTCTTGTGAGTTGACTAATATTAAGAAACATGATATAACAAGTCACCACTTTTGTTACTATCCTACTGCATGAAACAGAGATTATAGATTGTATAAGAAGGTAATCTCACATACACAAAGGGTCGAACTTCAGGTAAAGGAAACAGTCAGTACCGATACCAACACAAGTAGCAGTCTAGAGGGTGTGAAAACATACAAAATCAACCGAAGAGTCACCAGGAGAGATGACTAATAAACTGGTGGAGAATCAATAAAGCTCACTTCAACCAATTGAAGCATTGAGCTGAAAACATGCCTAGTATGGCGATGATGAAAGCTTCTCAAATAAACCCTCTAGCCGGCTCAGAGATCACAGCTATATCAAAATCATCCACTTGTGCTATTTATAGAGATTGTAGACTAGTGCGATTGTGTACAGCTGAAGAGGAGAATGAATTCTTCGACAAGAGGCTTTTTTCTGAACTAAATATTTTGTTTTCTTTAATGTCTAAATGGAGATTATTCATGAATTGAATTCTGTCAGTCAAGTTTGCAATGCGACCACCGTCCTAGGTGGCTCGCGATCGCGATGCACTTTGAATTGTTGCTGTTGTTAGTTAGTTGGAGGCGATCAGCCTGAAGACCTGGCTCGACCTAGGTTTTTTGCTGACTGTTGGCACTCACCAGTCAACAAGGCGTATCTGCAGTCTCTTGAAGGAACTGACCATGTCCTGTATGAGATTCGAAGCCTGGTCACTGAGTTCTTTCTGAAGTCGGTGATGTTACCATTGACCTATTTGGGCTTGACATTGACCTCATTTAGAACTGCAATGGATAGTTTGTTCAGACAATAGATATTAACTAAAGCCCTATACTTATTCCTTGATGTATTTAGTGCAGAGTGAAATCTATCAGTAAAGTTTTATTCTATCGTGGTCAATATCTCATTGAACATTGAACGCTCAAGGAAGTTTAACATTTTTCTGATCAGTTTTGATACAATATGCAAATCGCTGGAAAAAGATAAGAACACGGGCAGGGTTATTTCGTCCTTGTTTGAGCCTCACCAGGTGTGAGTACTAATGACCCAACCTGGGATCGAATCTTGGTTACCAGACCACTGGACTTTAACTTCTGCCAATTTGCTTTATGTATATGACGTAATCAATGGCCGATGTCATCAGAGAGTGCTTGTCCTTACACCCGACTTCGTTAACTTCGCCGATCATACTTATAGCTGGATCTTCAGGCAACGTATTTCTTTAGCCAGTTACTGTTGAACACTTAACAAGTTTCCAAGTGTTGGTTTGTAGGGATTCGAACTGTTTGAAATGTGATCATTTAGAGAACTATTTTAAACACCAGGGAGTACTGGAAGGACGTTTTGTCCCATTTTTGGACTCTCCATCAGCACTTACCTGTAACCCATCCAGGTACTGAACCCATGACCTTCATCTCACACAGCCAGCCTATTAATCACTTAGCCAGCTATTCGGAATTCGTTGACCCTCAGATTTCAACTTCTGTAGCGTTACCAACAACCGCTAATGAAATCGATGTATATGATGGACTGTGACAGCTGTAATTTTATTATTAGAACTTCAAGAAATTTTCGCCCTTTTAATGAATTCATGGATGTCAGAATTCCAACCGAATGTATGAATAGTTGATTAAGTGGCCTCGTGACTTGAAGGTTTTACTTTCTTCTCCCTGATCCTGTTGTGAGTGCATACTGATGAGGAGTCCTTAACTAGGAATAAACAGCTGTTCAGTTCTTCATACCTCTCAATTATTCCATAAATGATGTTGATTCGTGATGAAATCTGCTTTGAAATTCATCAAAATATCTTCAAAATCAAAAGTGTGAGCAACAAATACTTATATTAGTGATTTCACAAGAATCACCCATCTTATTATATGAATATTATTCCGTTGGTTCCGAGTGAACATAGGGATTTAAAAGTACATGCGTATTTAATTTTATTCTCTTCAGTCCCTTTCATTTAGCTCTACGATTCCTCATAAGCCTTCGTCTCCTCTTCACACCATCTTCTCCAAATACCACATACGAGCAAATGTACAACTCGTTGTGGTCTCCTATTTGGCTTCCATCAGATCAATGACCTAGAGCGTGACATCACCCAGTGGTTCTCACAGCATGTGTCCAGTTTATCTCCATTTTCTGGAGGGATTCTTTTCAGTGATAAGTTCTTGAATCGTTCGTTTTCAGAGTCTCATGCTGCCAATTCCTCCTCGCTTGTCGTCTGATTTCCAGTAGTGAAGTGAAGACAGTTGCTGATGAAAGTCTCTATTGGCCTATCGGAAATCCTTTGTCTGACATTCATGCTGGTCAAGTTCCTGAACCATATAGAGGCCGAATTGACTGACTGACTTGATGTCAGTGTTTAAGATCTAAATCTTTTTCCTTATGCTGAATGCAGAATAGTTTTTCACTGTGATTTGTGAGTTGGGAAAATCTGTTTCGCCCTTCTGATCATGCCTGGACAACTGCTCATGTGTATCACGGATGTACACTTCCAGTTTGACAACTCTCTTTACCGCGAAGTTGATGGCGTAGCTGTGGGCAGTCCACCTAGCCCTGTTTTAGCAGATATCTTCATGTTCAGCCATGAAAGAACAAAGTTGAAGCATGTGATTGATGGAACAGCGTCTTATTGTCGATGTGTAGATAGCACATTTTTAGTTTGCAACAATGAAAGTCATATATCCTACCTGCTCGGATTATTCAACGACGCAAATACAAATATCGAATTTATCATGGAATACGAAAATCACGGAAAGTTTGATTCCTCTGACATTGCTAAGGAACATCTGGAAGATGGTCTGGTCTCAAGAGGTCAGTTTACACAAAAGCCGACGTGGAATGGACAATACCTGCATTTTAATAGTTTTTGTCCAAATAGCTATCAACGTCCACTAGTCAAGACTCTGTACTACAGAGCTGAAAGAATATGCCCTACAGACAGATTGGAGGAAGAAGAATTTCTAATTCTTGAAAAGGTGTTTATAAACAATGTTACCCTCAAAGGTTCATTAATGAGTACGGAAGATGTGAAGTCTAAGATGTCAAACAAATCAGAGTGGAAAAATGTCTGTCTTCATTCAAATAGATTTTAAAGGTGGTAATATTTCAGGAATAATCAATAGAAAATTGAGCATGTCACTAGGCAAAGACTATCCTGCAGCTAAGTTGGTTCCCGTCAATCTGACAGAAATACTCCTCTTTTGGTGCAGTCAAAAGTCGACAGATACTCTTCTCATGTTAACAACTCCAACTTTGTATACAAATTTATGTGTATCTGCAGTAACAATTACAGTGCGACATATACCAAAGAGCCTACGCTTCAAGGGGATGAATGCCTTCAATAGCGCCATTGCCAAGTATCTCCTTGACACGGGTCATGAGGTGGATGTCGAAAGATTGTTCAAGATCATCAACAGGCTTAAAAGAGTACAATTCTCCTCAGGTTTGCTGAAGCCATCTTGATCAAACGCCTGAAACCTGATTTATGCGTTCAGATGGAAGTAGTTATCAGTCTTTCTTTGCTCTGCCCGGTAAC